AGAGAGAGAGAGAGAGAGAGAGAGAGAGAGAGAGAGAGAGAGAGAGACACCAAGAGAAGAAGCTATGTGAAGATGGCGGCAGAGACTGGAATGATGTGCTGATATGCCAAGGAGCACCCAAGATTGTTGTGAGGATGGTACAGACTGGATTCCCCTCAGAACCTCCAGAAGGAGCAGCACGCTACTGACACCTTGACATTGAACTTATGGCCTTCAGAATTGTGAAAGAATGAGTTTTTGTTATTTTAAGCCACCCAGTTTATGATGCTCTGTTAAGACAGCCACAGGAAACTAACACACTCACCTACTTCCAGCTCATTCTCACCTCAGGGCCTTTGCACTTAGCAAATGTCCTTCCCTGAGATTTTCTCATTGTTTGCTCTGTCTTGTCATTGAGGGCTCTGCTCAAGGTTACTTCCTTCTAGAGGCCCTCCCAGTCATTCCCACCCCTGCGCACCTGGCGCACCGGAAACGCCTGAATGAATGAATGAATGAGTGTGAGTTGTTGGGTTCCAAACACTTCAAACCTCCTGGTCCCCTGGAAGAACTGGAGTTTCAACACTGGGCTTGGTGCTGACTCATGCATCTGAGGCTGGGGAAGTCCCGACTTTCCTCTGAGCTCATCTCTGCTCTCTCTTCTTTAAGAAGAGAGCCCTGCTTTTAACTTATTAGATTCTTGGTGACAGATGAGTTTCTCTCTGAGAGACTCAGAAGTGTCTTTCTTCATTTATTTTTTAATATAAATAACTGAAGTGGTTCTTTCATTCTTTATTTTTGTGGTGCTGGGGATTGAACCCAGGGCCTTGTGCATGCAAGGCAAATACTCTATTAGCTGAGCTATATCCCCAGCCATCTTTCTCCATTCACTGGCATTCATAGAGGGCTAGGAGTCTGCATATCTGCATTCCTTATCTGCATCCCAGTCAGCAAGCCTCATCTTGTTGATCAAGGAGTGACAGAAGATGGAAATGAAATCGTAACAGAAACTTGGACGGATCACAGACCCAAACCAGTACATCTCCTTTCCATCTCAGAACAGGGAACTGAAACCATTCCCTAGGAAGCTCTTTCTTCCCCCTCTTACAAGAAAAAAATCCCACTCTGGTCTGATTCCTTTTTAAATACACAAATACTAATTGCAGTACTCACCAAACTCTTTAAATAAATAAATAAACAAACTCTAAATAAAAGGTGCTCTTGCAATCTTTTCTGCACCACCCTTCTAGATTTATTTGTTTTTATTTCTTCCCAGGCCTTTCCTGACCCAAGACATGGGTAATTTTTACTTAGCTGTCTTATAATATAATTCAGTGTCTGTGTCCCTATGTTTTTTTTCTACCAGGACATAGTTAACAGCCCATAAAGGTCTCTGCTTAAGTAAGAAGCCGATTTCTGTGAACCATAACCCAGACATGCAATACCAGACTGTGTCTCCTATCAAAATTTATTAAAATGGTAGATATTATTATAAGTACAGAAACACAAGCAAACAAACCAGGAGGATTCTTTCCTCCTAACCACGGGGCAACCACATATTTCCCTTTTATGATAGAAGCAAACAGATGGGAAGCAGTTCTCTTCCCTGAAGCCTTTTAACTGCTCGATCTTCAAATTAGTGTAAATGAGGGAAGAATGGATTAGTTACTGGTTATGGCACAAATACCATTCCTTATCCCTCAGAACACTGTTCCGCTCAGTCCCTCCTGGGGATAATCCCCTTCTGACCACCTCTGGAATCTCAGATATTAACCAAAGCTTAAGAATCTCTTCACCTAGCCCTTTTCTGCTAAAACATGGCTGAAAGGTGAATGGGCCCATGGAACTCAGGTGACCTGCTGGCTTGCTTAGCCATGCCTGAGTCCCCTCCAGGAGTAACATAACTCCCCTCCAATCTCTTGACTTTTCTTATCTCTCTGAAGTTCATGAGGAGGCTAGATAGTGCACTAGGAGCTGAGGGTCACCCAAGTCTCAGTCTGGGGAAGGTAAGAAGCCAACGAGTCACAGGTACCGATGGGCAGCTCCCTGGCTTCATCCCAGTGCAACAGAAAATGGACAATCAGCCCACCTTGGGCCTGTAAGTATGGAGACGAAGCAGAAGTTTCAGGTGCCTTTACTCTCCGTTCCTCGAGATTTCTGTGATCGCACCTTGCAACCGAGCCTCCGGCTCTGCCGTGCCATTTCTCTAAATCTGATTCTCTGAATTTGGAAGTTCCAGGGAACTGGAGGCCAGGTCTAGTGTGCAACATCCAAACTGTTTCTCCAGAGATCCTGGTTCTTGGTGACAACCTCCCCTTTTGGCGAGGTTATTTAACGAGAGGATGGGGCCAGAAAGAGGGGCTCTATGGTTCACTGGGGTCAGCCATTAAGGCGTTCGGGACACTCCTGGTAGTACTCATGTCCTGTGTGAGCTCCAAGCTGGTGCTGCGGTTATTATCTGGCTCATCAGGTGTCTTCTTCCGGAGGCAGCGGTTGATCAACATGGAGAAAAAGTTGGGAAAGGATGGGCTGGAGAAGTAGTACACAAGTGGATCCAGCATGCTGTTCATGTAGGTGAAGCTGAGGGTGATGAAAAAGGCCAAGTCAACTGAGCGGTACACTTCACAGTCCTGCGTCCCCGAGGTGTGCAAGAGCCAGAAGATGCGGATGCGCACGGCCACGCTGGGCAGGAAGCAGATGATGAAGACAATGGCCACCACCAGGATGAAGTTGATGGCTCTCTTGATCTTGGCATGCTTGTCCAGTTGTCTCTGCCGCAGGCTCCAGATGATTTTGGCAGAGCAGAACAAGATGATGCCCAGGGGCAAGAAGAACTCCAAGAAGAACATGGCATCATGCCACCGGAAGGTTTTGCAGATGCTAAAACTGCTGCACAGATTCGCGGGCCCGTTCTTGGTCAACATGTTTTTGTAGAGGAGGTGAACCGTCAGGCCGATGGTGACACCCCACAAAAAGCAGGAGATGATGGCCGCTGTCCGATTGGAGATCTTGTTCAGAGAGTGGTGAGGATGGACCACCCGGAAATACCTGTCCACGGCCACCACCGTGAGGAAGATGATGCTGCCCTGGCGGTTCATGGCCAACATGAAGAGCATCAGCCGGCAAGGGATGTCCCCAAACTTCCAATCCCACTTCCTCACATAGTTGTCTGTCAGGAAAGGCAGGCAAATGATGAGGAGAAAGTCAGCCACGGCCAAGTTGAACAGGAAGATCCGGCTGGATTTCCAGGACTTAAGGTGGAAGCAGAATATCCACAGAGCAAGGCCATTGCCCAGGAGTCCAAACACAAACTCCAGCCCCAGCACCGGTGGCAGCACATTGGCAATGAAGTCGTCCCGGAACACACAGCAATTCTTGTTGTGTATCACCAGAGAATAGTTCTGCGAGTGCTGCCGGTTCATGAGTGGATCGGGTCTGTCCGCTCCAGAGCGCCTCACCTAGCGAATGCTCAAGGAAGAAGTGTGTGGTGAACGTGTGGTTCAGCATTTGCCTTTATGTCATGTCAGGGTGTTGAAATAGATGACTGAATGGTTACCAGGAAACTACGAAATCACTTAAAAAAAAAAAAAAAGGCTAGCTTGGCTCTTATGCAACCTGCTGTTTGCATAAACAAGTAATAAAAAGTCCCCTGGGCAGACAAGAACCCACAAATTTTTCTAAATGTAAAGGATAAGTTCAGGCAAGCCAAATGTCATTTGCAAATTACTAAAAAAAAAAAAAAATGGGGACATCCCTTTGGAAGGCTGTATGTATGGACCTGACCAACTGCTCAGCACTGGATAATTAATTGACAGTCTTAGGTTTGTTTACATAATTGACAGATCAACAAATGCAATAATAATGGCCTGTGCTAAACAGTATGGTTTTCCAGAATCCTTCAGAATGAGCATGAAATATTAGCATGCATCTGATTTAAGAAATGGTAGCATGCACGTGATTGCTTTGGGAAAGACTGACAAGACCATCTTTGGCCATTTTACCAGTTTTATGGGTTAAATTTGAGCTTTTTTTTTTCCTAATGCACTTCTGTGTACAAACGTGAATTGCTTTTCCACAATAGAATTCTGCAATTAATTTCTGGTTGGGGAGGGAAATACTACTCGAAAGCATAAAATTTAATAAGATGTTTGAAAACTTTAAGCCCAGGTTGGTTGCCAGTGGTATGTTAAATTAAGTTGGGTTTTTCTTGTTTGTTTGTATTAGATTTTGATACGCTTCCATGCTAAATTAAGTGACTTATTTTTAAGGGTGTGATTTTTTATAATGAATAAACTTAATTTTTTTTAGAGAAGTTTTAGGTTCACAGCAAAATTGAGTAGAAAGTATGGAGAGTCCTTATATATGCTCTGCCACCCACCACCATATAACCACCCCCCCACCTTAAGCACATGATTTTTTTTAAATATTTTTTTAGTTGTCAATGGATCTTTATTTTATTTATTTATTTTTATGTGGTGCTAAGGATCGAACCCAGTGCCTCACACATGCTAGGCTAGTGCTCTACCACTGAGCCTCAGCCCCAGCCTGCACATGATATTTTAAAAACTCTAATTTTTTTTTTCAAAATTAGGGTTAAAACCACAGGACCTAAGCAGTCATTGAACTTGGCTTTGCAGAAGGACACCATTTCACATACTACCTCTTTTAGTGGGATTGGGTCTCATCCTGCAGAACATTTCTACCCTTTAATACTTTGGTTTTATCAAGTTTTGCTGCACAAGAGATTTCTGAATTGTGATGTTCTACTTTGAGAAATTGGAGATTTATTCCTTTAGCTGCATACTTGGGTTCACTAACAGGGGTTTATAGACCTCTGACAGCTAAATAGAGTAAGAATGACCTGATATTAGACTCTCTTCGGACTAGGGACCCTCAAGGAGGAAGGTCATGATGAAACTGGGGTTGACAGTGGCACCTATGTACTATATGCTTTGAATACATTGTCTCATCTCATCCTCTGACTGTGGTCTATGAGGGAGGGACTGTTGTTGACTCTGATTTAGAAATGGGGAAAGTGGCCGGGCGTGGTGGCGCATGCCTATAATCCTAGCAGCTTGGGAGGCTGAGATAGGAGGATCCCGAGTTCAAAGCCAGCCTCAGCAATGGCGAGGAGCTAAGAAACTCAGTTGGACCCTGTCTCTAAATAAAATGCAAAATAGGGCTGGGGATGTGGCTCAGTGGTCGAGTGCCCCTGAGTTCAATCCCCAGTACAGAAAGAAGGAAAGGAAGGAAGGAAGGAAGGAAGGAAGTGAAGCTCAGAGAGGGTGGAAATGTACTCAGGGCCACCCAGAACTTGGGTTAGAATCTGGCACTGATATCCAATCCCTAACCATTATGTGGCACTGTCTCTTATGCCATCGTCTCGCCTGTAAGCTTGCACTCTGTTGAGGTTGCATTGTGCAGTTGTATTCAGGTTCTGTGGAAATACTTGGCCATTTTTCGCCCCCTGTCCTTGCTGCCTGGGAATATTGCATTTTCTTCCTGGATAAATGTGTGCACTTGGGTGACATCACCATTATGAAGTAATCCTGAGGGCCTTTATTAATAAGAAGAGTCAGGAAAACTATTTTCAGTAATTTCTGGGAGCTGGAATTTGCAAGGGATCCTCCTTCCTCGGTTTTACAATTTTGTAATCTTTTAAAATGTTAGTCGCAGGTAAAATTGAAAAAGAAGACCAACAAATATTGTCACCCTTGGAAATTGGGGAAGACTGGAAAAAAGCTGAGCCTTGTTCTATTTCTATCATTAACCAACTGGGAAACCCCTTAACCCCCAGCTTCCTCTCTTGCAAACTGAGGAGTCAGACAACCTTCTAGCTTCCTTTCAGTTTTCAGCCTGTGATTTAAAAATCAAAGTTCATAACTGTTCAGACGGAATGCAAATCCGAATTTCCCGTTCTCCCCCATACAGTGGGCATGTTTTGTCTTGCATAAGTCCTTCTTTTATAGACTTTTTTTTTCCTTACTTGTGCATGAGCTGTACAGAAACTTATTATGATGAATCATTACAAGAACTAAGACAGTGATTCCACAGACTTTGGCGGAAGCTCCATGACTCTGACAATTAACTTGAATCTCCTGGTTATTCTATGACAGCTTAAGGTGTGCCAGGGAACTGAATTAAACCATTTTTTAAAAAAAATTTAGTTAAATTTATGTATGTATTTATTTATGTTTACAGTACTAGGAATTGAACCTCACACATGCTTGATAAGCTCCTCACTGCTATGCTACATCCCCAGCCCTTCATATTTTTTATTATGAAACAGGATCTCACTACATTGCAGAGGCTGTCCCTGAACTTGCAATCCTCCTGCCTCAGCCTCCTGGGTATCTGGGATTACGGAAATGCACCACCACACCCAGTTAATTTTATTTTGAGACAGGGTCTTGCTGTAATGCCCAGGCCAGCCTTAAACTCCTGGGCTGAAAGAATCCTGAGTAGCTGCCTGAGTAGTTAGGACTTCACATGGGTATTATTAAAAATAATAGGGCTATGGGGGTGTGGCTCAGTGGTAGAGCACTTAAGTATCTGGCATGCATAAGGCCCTGGGTTCAGTCCCAAGCACTGCAAAAACAAACACAGCAGCCACTTAAAAACTAGCTATCATTTGTCAACTGCAGGCTGTGTGCCAGGCATTGTACTAAGAAATTTGCATGTATGGCTTTATTTAATCTTCACAAAAACCCTGCGAGAGAGAGGTGCTTTTATTATCATCCCCGTTTCACAGATTGGAAAACCAAGGCTTAGAGAGGTGAAGTAGTTAACTATTCCATGTCTTTGACTACACTGGGATTTCTGTTTCAGTTATCTACCTCTGTGTAACAAATGGACACAAAATTTAGTGACCTAAAGCAACCACTGTTACCGGGTGTCACCATGGCACACACCTGTGATCCCAGCAACTCAGGAGGCCGAGGCAGGAGGATTCCATGTTCCAGGTCAGCCTTAGCAACTTAGTGAGGCCCTAAGCAACTTTGTGAGACCCGGTCTCAAAATAAAAAATAAAAAAGGGCTGGGGATGTGGCTCAGTGGTAGAGCACCCCTGGTTCAGTACCCAGCAACACACACACACACAAAAAGAAGTTGGGAAGTTTACAAAGTATATGGAGAGTACTTTAGAGTTTTAAAATATAGTGTTGGGTTTAATGTGAAAAGAAAAGAAAAACCTAAGGGCAAACCAGAATAATCAAATAATCTTGAAAAAGAAGAGCTAAGTAGGAGAATGCACTCGTCTATATTTAAAAGGTTGCTAGACAACAAGACCGTGTACTTCTGGCATAAGGATAGAAATGTAGATCCAGAGAGCAGACCGAGTCTAGAAATATACCCTTGTGCAGCGAATAAGTAAAGGAAATGGTATCTGAACCCAGTCTGGCCCTAGCAGCTATGTGTCTTGTGTACCCACCTCTCCCAAGTATTCCTATCTTTTGGCCCCATAGTCCTACATCAAATAATCTTCCAAAATCTTCCCCAAACCCTCAAACATGTGCCCAAAGATACATCATTCAGAAAATTAACAACAGCATGGTTGAAATAGAGGAAAGCTGGGAACACCCGAAATGTCCACTGAAAGGCCACTGGTTAAATTGATGGCCTTGAAGAGGACATTTAAGGTGTTTCCAGCTGTTTTCCAGGAAGGACCCTTGGATTCTCCTGGAGGTCCCTCTGTTTACCCCTTTCTCTGAGGTGACCCTGAATTTTAATTTCATTTTTTTCCCGTTGGTGTCAATGGACCCCCCCAGGGTCAGGGGCTGGGCTTTCCATGCGTGTTTCTACTGTCCCCGGGAAGCACCGGTATCTCCTTAGTGTTCCTCGGAAGAGGAAATGAATGAATGAGTGAATCCTCACAAGGAATAAAATATCCAAACTTTCCCCCTGGATCATTTTATGGTTTAATCTATTGGAACCTGAATAAGATTAGGCCCATATGTGAGCCTATCTGTGTATTCTACTCCATTTCTGTCTCTGTCTTTCTGTGTGTGTGTTTGTGTGTGCGCTTGCGTGTGCACGAAGCGCATTTATCCAGCTGCATAGATGAGCTAGGGAGGGGCTCGGATTTGGTTTAAAGCTCTGCTGTTTTAACCTTGAAATTCTTACTACTTTTTGGACAAACGTCCTCGCATTTTCATTTTGCCTTGGGCCCTGCAAATGATGGAGCCAGTCCTGAAGTCACGGATATCCTCACTGTGATGATGGAGTCTTGAGTCATACTGGAACCCTCTGTGGATCAGAAGGCAAGTAAGGCCAGAGCTTGATCACAGTGGGGCCAAGTCCCAGCCTCGCCTGACCTGCCTCCCTGTAGACTATTTTTATTATCATTTTTTTTTTAGTTATAGGTGGACACAATATCTATATTTTATTTTTCTATGATGCTGATGATTAAACCCAGTGCCTCGCGCTTGCTAGGCAAGCACTCTACCTCTGAGCTGCAACCCCATCCCTTATTATTTTTATTTAGTTGTAGATGGACACCATTCCTTTATTTTATTTTTTTATTTTTATATGGTACTGAGGATTAAACCCAGTGCCTCACACATGCTAGGCAAGTGCGCTACCACTGAGTCCCAGCCCCAGCCCTCCCTGCAGAATACTTAACAACTTGTTTAACCCCTGTGTCCCAGAGAGAATCAAAAGCAGACCTTACAGACACCGCGTGACTTCAGATACTATCTTAACAATTTCTCTCTTTTTTTTTTTAATTTTTATTTTTTTTAGATGTAGATGGACACAATACCTTTTTTTTCAAAAGTATTTATTTTTAGTTGTACTTGACACAATATCTTTATTTTATTTTGTGTGGTGCTGAGGATCGAACCCAGGGCCTTGCACATGCTAGGCAAGTGTTCTACCGCTAAGCCACAATCCCAGCCCAACAATTTTAATTTTAATAAAGAATAAATAAACCCACTCTGGCCAGGTATGGTGGTGCACACCTGTAATCCCAGAGGCGAGGCAGGAGGATCACCAGTTCAAAGCCAGCCTCTGAAATAGTGAGGTGTTAAGCAATTCAGTGAGACCCTGTCTCTAAATAAAATACAAAATAAGGCTGGGGATGTGGCTTAGGGGCAAGAGGTTGAGTGCCTCTGAGTTCAATTCCCGGTTCAATTCCCAGTACCCCCCCTCAAAAAAAAAAAAAAAAAAGATATTTTTCATTTTTCCTACATGATCCCTATGGAATATATGGTTTTATATCCTCTACAATTTCATGTAACTCTTCCTAAAAGACCCCACCAGGGTAAAATATTTCCCTCCAAAGCAACAGTTTCCCTCTTCCAAGTAATTTAAACAGGGCTTTTTCAACAAAGCTACATTCCTCTTCCTTAGGATTTCTAAAGAATGTTTCTTGATGAGATTTAGTTTGTGTCACATTCTACGAACTTAAAAAGGGAAGCAAACTTAGAATCAAGCCCAAGTTTGAGGTTTGGTTTGATGTATCTTTCCGTTGGTTCTTGCTGGTTTTAGTGAGAAGCTCTGTCCACATACCTGCCCATGAGCTTCTGGGTTGTAGAGACTTTTGTTCCTTCTCTAAAGCAAAGTCACAAGTCTTCCAAACCAAAGTCACACAGGAAAGAGACTTTCTTTCAAAACACATTTTTATTAAGATGAAGCAACAAAGCAGCAGCCCAGGAAAGAGTTATAACCCAAAATAAAATTTTAAAAGCAGAAGCACGGGGTTTTCACAGATATCTGTCGGGAGGCTTGTGGTCCTTTGATGCTGATAAGAATCCCTGCCTTAGCCAAGCACAGTGGCTCATGCCTGTAATCCCAGGTACTCTGGAGGCTGAGGCAGGAGGATCGTAAGTTCGAGGTCAGCCTGGACAACTTAGTGAGGCATCATCTCAAAATAAAATTAGAAAAAGGGTTGGGGATGTGGTTCAGTGGTAGAGTGCTGTGCCTGGCATGTGTGTGACCCTGGATTTAGTCCTCAGTATTAAAAGAAAAGAAAAGAAAAGAAAATCCCTAACCTTTACCCCTCTCTGGGCTGAGCAGCTGCGGAGTAAGAGATAATGGGGTGGCTACTTAGGGGCTCATAACCACAGGGAGATCACTTCTGTGTCTCAGTTTCTTTCTTTCTTTCTATCAGGAATTGAACTACTTAGAGGCACTAAATTACTGAGCCATATTCCCTGTCCTTTTATGTATTTTATTTAGAAACAGGGTCTCACTGAGTTGCTTAGTGCCTCTCTAAGTTGCTGAGGCTGGCTTTGAACTCTCGATCCTCCTGTCTCAGCTTCCCGAGCTGCTGGGATTACAGGCATGCACCAACACACCCGGCTTCAATTTCTTTATATATAAAATGTATTCAGGGAATAAGTCATAGTATTGAGCACTTATTGGCAGACATAGAGCTTCGTGATTCATATGTGCTTCTTCATGCACTCATTCAACAATTATTTTTTGAGCACTTACTATGTGCAGCTGTTCTTCTAGGCACTGGGGACATAACGGTGAATAAAGTCCTTGTGCTTCAGGATTGAATTCATTGAATCTGCCCAATGACCCTTTGAAGGTCGTTATTAAAAAAATATTTTCTTTTTAGTTGTAGTTGAACACAATACCTTTATTTATTTATTTATTTATGTGGTGCTGAGGATCGAACCCAGCACCTTGCACATGCTAGGTGAGTGCTCTACCACTGAGCCACAACCCCAGCCCCCGAAGGTCATTATTATTGTTAACCCTGTTTGACAGATGAGGAAATTGAAGTTGAAAGCAGTTTAAAATCTGCCCCAGAATCACATGTTTACGAAGTAGCTGAGTTGGGATTCAAAATTAGATCCGTCAGACTCTCTACAGATTGTTCCTTTGATTGCCAGGCTGTGCAGTGCCTCTGAAGAAGAAAGTAATAAGCCAGTCTCCCCCGGGTCTTTTCAGGCTAAAGAACTAAATGTTGGCAAAGTCCATAAGTGGGGAGACTACCCTGGGAATTAGAGCCGGTGTAAGTGGAGAAATAGAGAATTACTTTCACCACTTTGTGGCTTGGGAATAGAGCTGAGTTTGGCCTGGATTCCCTTCCCTTAACTCAAGGGAGGAGCAGCCTGTCATTTCACAGAATCATCTGGTTTTGAGGGTTCCAGAAGCCTATTTGGAAACACCTTATGCACAAGCGAGACCCACCGTGAGAGAAAAACTGTGATGTTTGCATGGTCTAGAAACGATTTTCAGTGAAAGGGTGAGGGTCTTACACATTGCTGCTGCTCCCCAAACTGCTGTCACGCAAGAGTACAGTAATAACCCTCCAGGCACAAGGGACGCAGATGTCCGATACTAAATTCAAATTCAGTAAATATTTGAAGAAGAAAGAAAGAATGATTTCAATCCACACGTACATAACAAGCAGTCAAAAGCACTTATGCTGGATTTAGCACATGCGAAAGGACAGCAGGCTTTCAAACTCTCAGCAAGCCCTGGGGAAACCAGGGAAGGTGCCTGTCCTTTAGCACCTTCTTGGGCTACCTGGAAGTCAAGACATTGACAAAGAAATGTACAGAGGGGCCCAAAAGGAGATGAAAATCATCAGAACCAAGACATCCTGATTTTTTTTTTTAAAGAGAGAGAGAGAGAGAGAATTTTTAATATTTATTTTTTTTAGTTCTTGGCAGACACAACATCTTTGTATGTGGTGCTGAGGATCGAACCCGGGCCGCACGCATGCCAGGCGAGCGCGCTACCACTTGAGCCACATCCCCAGCCCGACATCCTGATTTAAAGAGCCTCTCTCAGCCTAAAATAAAAGTTCAGTTCCTTTTATTTTATTTATTGACTTAGTTCAGTTCCTTTTTTTCAAAATAAGTAAGGGTTTAAGGTCAAAGAATAGGAAATATCGATACATCATTAAGTTCAATAACTCCCCCCCCCCCCCAGAGCAAGAACATGACCCAGTAAAGATTCATACCTGTATCCTCATCTGTTTAAAATTACACAGGAGCTGAGCAATTCCTAACCAACACACATGCCCATCCTGTCCCCTATCACTGTAATCACGTTGCTGGCCTGTTTGTATTAGTGCCATTCAACACACTTGGAGGTCCCCCTGAACATCTGGCTGGCTTTGGACACTATTTGCCACGCTGCTGCAACTCTTACGACAGAGGTCAGAAGTTGGCATCTCCTCCATCCTCTGTGACTTTGAGGGTCCTGGCTGCTTGGGTCTCAAATGATGGATTTTAAGCTTGGTATAGAATTTGGGAAATGAGGGGCTTGAAAAATAATACACCAGGGGGTCCAGCACGCTGTTCATGTAGGTGAAGCTGAGGGTGACGTGGAGGGCCACATGGACAGATGCGTTGCAGGCACTGGAGGGCAACGTCCAGACGAAGTACAGTCTGGCCAGGACGCTGGGCAAATAGCAAGTGACGAAGACACTGGCCACCACCATGATGAAGTGGATAGCCTTCCTCATCCGAGCCTGTCTGGCCAGCTGCTGCCGCTGCTTCAGGCTCCAGATCACCTTGAAGGAACAGAACCCGATGAGGCCCAGAGGCAGGAAGAACTCCAGTTGGAACATGATGTCGTGCCAGCCGTTTGCTGACTCCATGATGAAGCTCTCACAAGACGTGGCATTCTTCTGCAGACACAGGTGGCTCTCCGTCAAAAGATGCAGAGTTCCCAAGATGACCAAGGTCCAAAGGACGCAGACGGTGCCAGCTGCGGTCCGGTTCGAGATGGTGTTCACCATATGGTGGGGGTGGACCACTTTGAAATACCTGTCCACGGCCACCACTGTCAGGAAGACGATGCTCCCGGCTCTGTTCATGGCCAGCATGAACAGCACCAGGCGACAGGAAAGATCCTGAAAGGCCCAGTTTCTGTCTCTGAGGTAGTAGTCTGTCCGGAAGGGTAGGCAGATCATGAGGAGGAAATCAGCCACGGCCAAGTTGAAAAGGTAAATGGTGCTCGGCTTCCAGGTCTTCATGTGGAAGCAGAAACCACACAGAGCAATCCCATTGCCCAGGGCGCCGAGCACGAAGGCCAGGATGAGCAGGGGTGGCATCACCTGAGAGATGAGGTCCCCCTCAAGGATGCAGCATGACTTGTTGTCCATAGTGCAGGGAGGACAGGTGTCCGGGGTGCCCAGTGGCCCCTGGAGTCCCCACCAAGGCACAGGTGCTTATCTGTGTGCTACCACTGACCCAGTGGCTGTGCCTTCAACCTCATCACCTTGACAATCAGTCACCGCACCCAGGGGTAGATGGGGCTACCACACCCGGAGGAGAAATCAGCCAGGAAACGAAAGCCACAGGGAGGTCCTTTCTAAGAAGCTGCGGTTACAAGCCGCTTGTCTTCCAGAGAGGTGAAGCCTGTAGCTCGGCCAGACTCCGAGATGCATGCGATATCTTGTAGGTGGGAAGTGGCCAGAGGGTCCCATGAGATTCATGCTGCAGAGGAGTTACTGAGTGCAGCCCCAGAAGAATTTTCATACTCGGCTTCCTCTTTCTCCTGCGACTCACTCTGTCCTGGAGAGCTCACAGTACTGGCCCAGAAGGCAGGGACACGCTTGTTTGTCCTCCCTCCTGGTGGAGAAATACAAACATTTCCTGGAGTCAGTCTGAGCCTCTGCCATTGCTTTCCTCCCCTAACCTTTGCCTGACTGCCCCGTCCTCTCCTCCATCCCGTGGGACACTCCAGGCCATGCCAGAGAGGGGAGGCTCTGCTCTGCAGTTGCTCGGAGGCACTTCCTGTGCCCACTCCCAAAAACAGCACTCAAAAATTGGGAGGGTCTATACAGAAAAAAAAAAGGTCTAAACATATGACATTTGTTGGGTGTTAGAAAAATTCTTTGGAGGGGGTCACTCTCCCTCCCCTTCTTCCCCACGTCCCTACCCTTTGCTTGCTTCTGTGAAGCCAAGTGACCAGTTGCACAACCAGCAAGACCATGAAATGGACCTGAAGCCCACTTCCATGTCTGTCTCCAGGAGACGCCTCTGTGGAGCCAGACTTGGCTCTGAGCTTGGTCGCTCAGAAGAGCCAAATGCCATGATATGAATGTCTTTTATTTTAATTATTGCTGAGCCTGTGGGTGTGGGAGCACGGGGACCAGGGGAGTTGGTCAAGGATCTATCTCTAAAATCATCTTGGGTAAAATTAGACTGCGCTGAGAAACTGGAGTCTTTGCCGAAATTTCCTGCCCTTTGACTTTAGGGATTATCTCTCTGCCCTGTGCCTTTCTGCTCCCCATTTAGGAAAGGGGGTGGGTGTGGGATTGGAGGGTACATTGGAAGAATGCAAGCAGCTTCTTCCAGAGGTTAGCAGAGAGCTACATTTTGCAACTGAATACCAAGAGCTTCCTCCCTCCTGGACTTGGAAACTTGGACTTTCCTGGCTGGTTCCTCTTCCTCTAGCCTGTTCTCTCTAATCCTTCTCCGGTATCTGTCGACGCGGCAGATGGGTGGCCTGTGGGCCATACAGGGTGCAAACACCAGTTTGGCTTGGCCCGTGTGTTTAGAAAACCTAGGATTGTTCTATGGAAGCCTGGATTTCTGCCTTTTAGAAAATTGGAAGATCTGCCACAGTGGACCAATGATCCCACCTGGTGACAACCAGCTGGAGCCAAGAGTAGCTGCCCTCTGAGGGCATGAGTTCTGCAGTTTGCCACTGTCCCCACCACTCCCCATTACCTTAGATCTACTTGGCCCCCCTTAATTTACATTCCTGGTCTCTATTGGCTTTTGGGTCTGTCACCTCTGTTCTAGGTTGAAAGTCACATTCCTCGGATTGACACACAAAGGCCTTCGTGCTCACCGAACATTTGCTACACCTAGTTCCCCACTCATCCATGAGCTGCTGCTTCTTCTTCTTCTTCTTTTTTTTTTTTTTTGTTTTCTTTTTTGATACAGAGGATTGAACTCAGGGGCACTCAACCACTGAGTCACATCCCAGCCCTATTTTGTATTTTATTTAGAAACAGGGTCTCACTGAGTCGCTTAGCACCTCGCTTTTGCTTGAACTCGTGCTTTGAACTTGCAATCCTACTGTCTCAGCCTCGAGAGCCGCTGGGATTACAGGTGTGCACCACCAAGGCCAGCCATGAACTTCTTGAAGACAAGTCCCATGCTCTTGGCAAGAGGAACCAAGAATAGGGACCTGGATGAGCTTTCTGAGAGCTCCTAACAGCTACCTTCCCTCCATGAACTTTGGGGTTCTCTGAGGAGTTAACTATTGGGGTAGTAACCACTGTAGGCTGTCACACTCAAGAAGAGTCCAGGTGAGTAACACTGCAGACCTTCAGATGCTCAGCCTGGAAATTTCACCAAATGGCAAATATTATTTTTTCAGTGCTTGGGGATGGAACCCAGGGCCTCAGACATGTCCCGCCCCAGCTCCCATGGTAAGTCCTCCTCATTCTGTGTTATCAGAAGGGGCAGTAGTTCTTCTAAATGCAAGTTCTTCCCTTTTCCCCACATGACTAACAGTAACTGCTTTCTTTTCCACATCCTGACTTGTCAAATAACTTGCCTCTCTCTGTAGAATTATCTGGAAGGCAAATGATTAAGAGCAGTTTCTCTTTCTCTGGAAGTCTAGTGGTTTTTCATATACAGATTGCTCTGATGCTACCCCAGGGGCTACGGAAGGTGGGACCGCTATTGGAGGACCACATGCTCCAGAGGATACTCCACATCCTCTCCTTCATGCTTCAGATTAAATCAATCCAAAAATGAACTCAAATAGATCTAAGGCCGCCACGGAAGAGCCACAAGCACACAACTCTCAGAAGAACACTCAGGCGGAAAACTCCATGTAGTTGGATTTGGCATTGATTTCTTAGATATGACACCAAAAGCACAGGCAATAAAAGAAAAAAATAGGTAAACTGGGCTTCATCCAAATTAAAATTTTGGCCGGGTACAGTGGCACATGCTTGTAATCCCAGTGACTCTGGAGGCTAAGGCAGAAGGATCATGAGTTCAAAGCCAGCCTCAGCAAATTAGGGAGGTGGGATGTGGCTCGGTGGTTAGGCACCCCTGGGTTCAATCCCTGGTACCAAAATAAATAAATAAATAAATAAAACTTTTCATCACCAAAGGACACTGTCAGCAGAGCAAAAAAAGCAACCTCTGGAGTGGAAATCATATTGGCAAACCATACAGAAGATACGAAGAACTCCTGTAATTCGGGAATGGAAATCAAGCCAGGCATGGTATACATATATTTGTAAACCCAGGACTTGGAAGGCTGAGGCAGGAGGATCACACATTGGAGGACAGCTTTGGAAATTTAGTAAGACCCTGTCTCAAAAAAATAAAAAAAGGCTGAGGATGTGGCTCAGTGGTAGAGCACCTCTCGGGTTCAATCTCCAGTACTAAAAAAGAAAAAGAAAAAAAAAAAAAGAAAGAAAGCATGTTTAGCTGGATGTGGTGGTGTGTGCCTATAACCCAGTGACTGGGAGGCTGAGGCAGGAGGATGGCAAATTTAAGGATAGCCTCTACAACTTAGTGAGACCCTATCTCAATTTCTTTTTTTTTTTTTTTTTTAAAGACAGGGAATGTATTTCAATACCCCTGGATTCAACCTCCAGCACAACAAACAACAAATCCATGTGAATGCACTTAATGTCACTGAACTAACTACTTAATAGTAGTTAAAATTGTAAATTTCATATTATGTAGATTTTGCCACACACACAAATCTAGAACAGTCCACAGTCATTGAAGGGAAGATTGATGCAGGGCTGGCTGTAATAGGCCTTACCACTGAAGGGCTCTGTGACACAGGAGACAGTCTGACACTCACAAAGCAGTATGTGTAGCACATATCATTTCTGTGACGTTATCCATATAAAATGCAAACAGAAGGGCTGGGGTTGTGGCTCAGTGGTAAGGCATGTGTGAGGTACTGGGAGGCCAAAGCCTAGACCAGCATCTTCCGATAGAACTTTCTACAAAGTTGAAAATGTTCTAGAATACAGTCTTCCCTCCATAGTGTGGGTTCCACATCTGAGGATTCGATCATATGGACCAAAAATATTAAAAAAAAAAAAATTGTGGCCAGGCACATGCCTGTAATCCCAGCAGCTCTGGAAGCTGAGGTAGGAGGATCGTGAGTTCAAAGGCAGCCTCAGTAAAAGCAAGGTGCTAAGTAACTCAGTGAGACCTTGTCTCTAAATAAAATACAAAATACAGTGGTCAAGTGCCCTTGAGTTCAATCCCCAGTACAACAGCCCCCTAAAAATTGGGTTTGTACTGAACTCGAACAGACATTTGTCTTGTCTTTATTCCCTAAATAATGCAGAATAGCAACTATTTGCATAATATTTATATTGTATTAGTTACTGTAAGTCATCTAGAGATGATTTAAAGTATAGAAGAGGTTGGACACAGTGGCTCACTAGGGTAATCTCAGCTATTTGAGAGGCTAAGTCAGGAGGCTTGCAAATTCAAGGCTAACCTGGGCAATTCAGTGAGACCCTGTTTCAAAAAAAAAAAAAAAAAAAAGGCTAGGCTGGGGATATAGTTAAAGTGCCTCTGCATTCAATCCCCAGTTCGGGGGGCGGGGGGTGGGGAGAGTATATTGCATAGGTTATATGCAAACACTAAGCCTTTTTTTGTTTGTTTGTTTTTGTTTTTATTTTTGTTTATAGTACTGGGGCTTGAACCCAGGGGTGCTTTAGTACTGGGCTACATTTACATTTTTTATTTTGAGACAGGGTCTCCCTATACTGCACAGACTGGCCTGGAACTTGTGGTCCTCGTGCCTAAGACTCCTGAGTTGCTGGAATTGCAGGTTGGGTCACCCCATCTGGCTAAGTCATCTTATATCAGAGACTTTAGAGTCTACAGATTTTGGTATGAGGGGAGGCAGGTCCTGGAACCAATTCCTGTAGATAGCAAGGGACAACCGTATACAGGTAGCTACTGAGCTCTTGAAACGGGGCTCACAGGAACTGAATTTTTAATGAAATTCAATTTTGATTAACATTTAAAAGCCACCTGTGGTTTGTGGCTACCACGTAGGAAGCCCAGGAAACATCACTTCCCTCCCCTTCCAAGCCTTCTGTGAATCTCCCCCTCTCACCTGGAAGAAGCCCTCTTTCCTGTGCCACTTTTGCCACCCACACACTTGTCACACAGTCTGGTGAAGATTTACTTTTGCTTCTCCCCAGAACATACAGAGCCCCTCACCGGGCACAGGCGGACACGCATGTGTCTTC